CGGAGTGAAACATTGCGAACTAGGCTCCTAAAGGGGTCTCGCATAAAATTGAATTGCTTGTTACGCCCTCTTCGATTCCAGTCCTTTCTTGACTTGACTCGAACTTTCAAACATTCATCTACAGTCCACTTTCACATTTGTCGCATGCTCCTTCGAGCAATTTCAGCTCTTTTCACATGCTCCATTGAGCCTCCTTTCTTTTCTTTCTTCTTCGCTTTAGCTTCTGGCTCTTCGTGTCCTGTAAAACCAAATTGTGAAACCAACAAAGCGCACTCACTGTCTTCACTGTCTCCCAAACTACTCTGCGCTCTCACTTCTTTTGCGTCGCGGGTGGTACTCGCGGTTCAGGTCGTCGACCTTGTCGAAAAAGTAGCTGCTCCACAGCTATTGCACCTTCTTTTGGCGTTTGCCACTGTGCGTTCGTAGTGCTTTGTCGTGTGGCTTGTAGCCTTGGCGATTCTGGATTTGCCTTTTCTGGGTCCTTTACACAGACCTCTTGATCCGGCTCTCCTTTCTCGCAAGTCAACTCTTGTGAAACTTTTGGCCATCAACCAACAGCCTAGCCTGTTTTCCCTGCTTCGTTCTTAGCAAAACTTCTGTACAAACTTTTGGACTTCTGTCACGCCCTCTGCGGCTTTTAGCCTCACGATGTGTCCGCCATATCCTTTTCCGAATAACCTTTCTCCGGGCTCTCCGCTCGCCTGTCCTTTTCCTTCTTTTCTTTCTTGTGTTTCATTTCCTTATGCTCCTTTTTCTCTTTCTTTTCTGTCTCTTTGCTCTCCTTTGGCTTTGGCCTTTTCTTCTCCTCTACACGTGGGCGCTCCTCGCCCCACTTGGGGTTCGGACGGACTTTTCCATCCGGTGTGGTAAAGATGTTCGGCTTGCTGCTTTCACTTGCCGAACCTTTCTGCAACATTTCCTTTTCCTCTTCTTCTAGATCAATCGGCTGTGCTTCTTTCGCTCTCTTGACATTTGTCCTTTCGGGCTTTGTGGGCTTTTCGGGCGTCGACGGATCGATTCGAGACGTGTTGAGTCTACACTTTTGTATCGTGTGGCTGCCCCAGCCGGCAGCTACACGCTTCTTCCCGTTGTCATCTGTAATGGTAAAGCCTTTGTTATCCCGAAAGCATAATCAACAGAATAACCAACATCCTGCCATGCATCTCACATTGTGCGAGAGTAACTCAGCACCTTCAGCTTCGACTTCATCAAGCATCATCGGGCATTCGAAAGCTTTGTGTGCGTCGCTTCCACAATGGAAGCAATGGAACCCTCCCGAGCCTTCTTTGTGCTCTCTGTGGCTCCGTGGCTTATTCAGCCACTTATCCGGGACATTTTCGAGTTCTCGCTTCCGGTCTCTCTTTTCCGGCTGCACATCCTTTTCTTTGAGAATGTCCGGAGCTGTCTTCGCCTTTGCCTGTAGCAACCTCGGTGTCTTTGGAGGGTTTTCTAGCTCGTTTGGTCTATCACTTCCACGAGCTCGCTTTCCTTGGCTCTGAGACCTGCATTCATCCTCGCTCTGCATGCTCTTTGGAGTCTTAGCATTTCGTGGAGTCTCCGTTCCACTTTTCCGCTTTCGCATAAGCATACGCAACATTTGTAGCTGCGCACTACCCTTCTTTCCTTCATCCTGGAACAAGTTCTTTCGCAGTTCATCATCTGTGCTTGTAGCTGCGCGAAGTTTCTTTACTATGCCCTGTAACATCTGGAGAGCTCTTCCTGCCACTTGGTGTGTCTCCCTTACTGCAGTGCGTCCATCTCTCAACTTGGCCCCATCTGTCTCAAGGTCTTCAATGATCTTTTTATTCTCTTCGATATCCTTTTCAGCTGCGGCTATGTCCTGTTCGGCTTCAATCTTCCTCCGCTGGGCGTCAGCCTTCCGGGCAAGTAGATCTTCTTTCGCGACTTTTGCTCTATCGCTCTTTTCTATATGCTCTTCGAGCTCGCATTCTGTAGAATCGGAAGTTTCTCTCAACTCCACATTCCATCGCTCGAAAGAGTCAACCAACCTTTCTAAATGACTTCCATATCCTCGAGGTAACTCTTCAATGTCTCCCTCGAGGACCTGTAGCACAGCTCTGATGGCATCCTTTCGCTCGTCTTCAAGTAAACTTTCAATAGCGTTATCGGTCATGTGGTATGCCTCGCGGCACGCCTCGGCTAGAGAAATATCGAATTCTTCACCACCTTCTCTAACTTTCGTCTCTAAGTCTTTCGATTCTTCGGGCTTTTCCACTTCCTTAGCCTCTTCTGCCTTTTCGGCTTGCTCCTTCGGTTCTTCTGGCTTCTCGGTGGCTTTGTGTTCCTCAGCCTTTTCAGCTTCTTTTTCAACCTTCTTTTCTGATTCATCCGAACTCCCGCTGCTTTCGCTTGGAACACTAGCCTGGGACTTTACAGCTTCCTTTGCCAAATTCCGTCTTCTTGTTTTGGCCTTCTCTTGCAACTCTAGAAGTTCTGCTTCTCTCTGCTCCATCTGCTGAGCTTGCTGAGCTTGTGGATCAGCCTCCTGCTGCTGTAGCTGCTCTGCAATCGTCTCATCTGCTTTGATCTGCAGAAGCTTCTTCAGTTCATCCTTTCTTTTCTCTGCCTCCTCTTCTGGCTTGGATGGCTTTGCCGCCTCGTCCATATCATCATCGCTTTCTCCGCTGCTCGACGAGGGGTCGCTTGCTGCTTCGTCGTCGCTAGACTGCTTCTTCTTTTCAGGAGGGGTTTCTTCGTCCTGCCTGTGTCTGTTGAGTTGCTTGACGACTTGAAGAATCTTCTTCGGATCTTCGTACTTTTCAAGAGCTACTTTCTTGAGCCACTCATCCAGTATCGTGGTGGATTCTATCGATCGGGATTCTTCCCGAATCTGCCTCTTTAGTTCAGCTATGTACTCTTCCTCGGTCATCTCACCACTGGCTGCAAAGTTCAGCACTTTCTTTCCTTCTGAGCTCATTTTCCTTCTTCTTTTTCTTCTTTCTCCTTCTTTTTCCTTTCTCTCTTTTCTTTTTCTTCCAGCCTTCTTGCCAACTCTTCTCTTGAGCAAAACAGCTGCGGTAAACACGGTTCTGCATATGCAAATGAACAATAATCCAGCCATAGCAATCATGCACATACTCGGTCCTGCTTTTTGGTCTTCATCTGGACTTCTTTCACTTATTCCTTCGTGAGCTTCACCAAGACCAACTACAACAGCCATTGTGACTGCTTGGACGATTCTTTGCAACTTTCCTTCTTCTAATCTTCCATTTCTTTGTGCCATTCGCACATCAGCTTCACCTGTGTCCACTGCTTCACCTTCATCAAGGTAGTCACCGATATATCCAATCGTCACCATATACTTTCGAATCTTGTCTCTTGTCAACGACTTTGTTCCC